TGATTTGGTAAGTGTGCGTTACTTATTTCATTACAGTGTTCTGGTGAACACTTTAATGCTGTTCTAGGGTTTCTTTCTTTATTTTCATGGTTGAAGTAATATACGTTGTTGTAGAATGTGACTGACTTATATTAACAATCATGGACTTTGCAATTAAATGAAGAAGGTCTTTCACTAAAGTAGCAATTGACTCGACCTCTATATTCTTCTATCATTCTCTCCTATAAAAAGAACCCATAAACTATAGCATTTATTAACTATATGTAGATTGCATTCATAAATGAAGTAATAAAATTTATATCCACCGTTCTCTTATTCAATTACATTTTCTTACTATTTTTTTTGGTTTTTGCTTTGTAGACGCGATAGTTACATTACCCATAGGGCTTTTTGTGATGCATTGATACAAGAGACTGCTAGAAACCCTACCGTGAGCTTCACGTCAATGGCAGCTACTAGCAGCGGCGTTGGCTCCGGTGTTTTTTACGGGAGACTCGGCGGCGGCACCGCTCTTTCGCACCATCATTTGAAGGATCATCCAAATTCCGGGTTTACCCCTATCTCGGGTTACAATCTGAACATTGCATCTTCAGAAAATAGCAGAGATCAATTTGCTCCACAAACATCAAACCCTAACTTCTTAATCCAAAGCTCGTCGAGCCAAGGAATGTTGACTGCACCGCACCACAACAACAACAACGATCAGAGTTTCCTGAACCAACACGGTCTGATCCAATTTGATCCAGTCGACCACAACGGCCTCAAGAGTAGCAACACCAACAACAGCTTCTTCAACCTCGGATTTTTTCAAGAAAACAACAAGAACTCGGCGACAAGTACTCTTCCTTCTCTATATAGCACCGATGTTCTTGTTCATCACCGTGACGAAAACTTGAACTCGAGTTCAAACGTGTCAGCCACGGCACTGCTTCAGAAAGCTACGCAAATATGTTCAATCACTAGCAACCATCCTTCTGCTTTGTTCAGAGGCTTAGCTTCTTCTTCTAATTCTTCATGTGTGGTTGCTAATGACTTTGGCGGTGGACAGATCATGGAGAACGATAATAACGGAAACCTTCAAGGTCTAATGAACTCATTAGCGGCCGTAAATGGCGGTGGTGGTGGCGGATCCGGTGGCAATATTTTTGACGTTCATTTTGGAAACAATGGAACTATGAGCGGGTCGGATAAGTTAACGTTGGATTTTCTTGGAGTTGGAGGAATGGTGAGAAATGTAAATCGC